GTCTGGTGGGTTAGAGCAGAGGGGTGGGGGGGAGGCCAGCCAGCCAGCCAGGGGACTCTGGGTTCTATCTCCAGCTCTGACATGAGGCAGTGTGCAATCCCCACCCCATCCCATTCTGGGTGCAGCTTGAGGGAGGAGTGGGTGGAGAATTGCAGCTCTCCAAGTTGGGGAAAGAGATTTACCCTGTCCAGGTGTGAGGGGCGGGGCAGGTGAGGAGGGTGCCAGAGAATGGGGGAGGGGCTGGCTCCATGCCTGGCAGGTAGCCTGATTTGGAGGGGGGAGGTATATGAGGATTCTAGTCCCCGCACCCCATATAGCTGGGTCCTAAATGGAAACCATCCCCAATTGGGGCCCCACATGAGGCAAGTTTGCTGGGCCTCAGCCCAGTCCCTAGGGAGGGAGCCCCAGCTGGCTGACTGGGGGCTGAATGTGCCACCAAGACTGAGCCCCTCTGTGCCCACAGAAGGGAAATGCCCCAGATGCTAGTTCTCCCCCCCACCCCAGGCCTGCGGTCAGAGCCAGTGCCCCCTAGAGCGGGAAGGCCCTGTTCCCATCATGATGGTGTCTCTCCCCCAGGTTTCATGCTGTGGGAATCATCTTCTTCATCCTGGGTCTGGGCACCCTCCTGCCCTGGAACTTCTTCATCACGGCCATCCCGGTACCGACCCTGAGTGCCATGGGGTTCTGGGGGTCAGGCAAGGGAAAGTGGAGTGCTGGGGGGAAGGGCTTAGGGGGTTGGGGTAGGCAAGGGGCAGGTATGGTGTTGAGGGGAGGAGGAGGGGAAGTGGGATGCTGGGCTAAGGGAGGGGGAGCACTGGGGGGCCAAGGGTTCATAGTTCTGCAGCAGCACCCAGGACAGGGGTGCAGCCCTGCATGTGGGGGTCTTGCTGGGGCCCAGGGGAGGGTGGCTCAGTGGGGGAGGTGCCCCCGGGGGTGTATGGGCAGCAGGGCTCCAGCCCCATCTCACCTCGTCTCTCCCCCACAGTATTTCAAGGCCCGGCTCATTGTGGGGACCAGCTTGACCGTGGGCCTGGGGGGAAACAGCTCTGGGACGCAGCGGGACCCAGCCCGGGATGAGTTCAACTTCAACAACTGGCTGACGCTGCTCTCACAGCTCCCGCTGCTGCTCTTCACCCTGCTCAACTCCTTCCTCTACCAATGGTGAGAAACCTCGGTCCTGCCGGGGACTCTCGGTCCTGACCCCAGCCCTGCGATCCCAGCCCG